GTGTGTGTGTGTGTGTGTGTGTGTGTGTGTGTGTGTGTGTGTGTGTGTGTGTGTGTGACATGATAGCTGCCTCCAAGTACTTAAAGGACTGTCATATGGAGGAAAGTTTAGGCTTGCTCTTTGTCTCCAGAAGGAAGAATCAAGCACAATGGGTCTAAGTTGAAAAAAGGCAAATCTAAGCCTAACATCAGAAAAAAAAAAGCCCCTAATGATTCAAGCTGTCCCCAAATCGAAGGGGCTGCCTTAGGAGGTGGTTGAAGGTCTTCAAGCAGAATCTGGATGGCCACCAATAGGGCATGTTATAGTGGGATTCCCTTCACACATGGGTTGGATTAGATGCCTACTGGGGTACCTTCAACTCTCAGATTCTGTGATCTCCTGATTGTGATTCTGAATAGGCCCTTTAAAAGTACACTCGTGGTTCAGAGTGGATGGAGACAAGGAAAGAGGGAAGTGGGTGTTAGGAAACGCACCTAGGAAGCAATGGCATCACAGAAGCATGAAGGAATCTGAGGTGGCAGATTTCGTGGCCCAAGGAACAGCCGGGCTCAAGGGGATCAGATGGAGGTAGTAGCAGAAGGTAAAAATCCTAAGGTCCCTAAGATAACAAGAAGAGAAGCTGGTACTTCCAGGGAAGGTGACATCAGACCAATGAAGTCCGAGGTCCAGGGTTTGACCTAAGCTCTGTCCTACCTCACCAATGTCCAGGGTTCTCCTAAGAGGTCCTAAGAGGCATCCTCCCTCACCCTGAAGGTGAATGAATGCATCGGCTCGCTCCCTCTGGGTGTTAATAGAGAACAAGCCTATGGCCCTCAGAGAAAGTCAGGCACCAATAAACAGATGAAGGAAGGGTTTAGGCTTGGGTTAGAGGGAATGGGAGTCTTCCTTGTGCCCTAATCACATTTCCCAGGTAGCTATAGACTTTGATTGGTCATAAATATCACAAAGATTTAGAGCTGGAAGGGATCTTTGAGAGGAATAAAGTCCAATTTCTTCACTTTACAAATGAAGAAACTGAGGCACAAAGAGATTAAAGTGATTTGACCAAGGTCATGAGCTAGTCCTGCTTGTTGAACTGGTCACATACCTTCCCCAGCCCTTTCTCTACCTCCTACCTGGCACTTCTCCCAACTTGGTCCCTGACCTTTCTCCTAGCAAGACTCTCGGACGCCAGCCCCCTTTCCTAGGTTATGCCCTCATCTCTAGACATTTCCTACCCCATCCCCACATCCCATCTCCTTCCCCAGCCCCCAGCCCACATACTTGCCCAGCCTCTCTGTCTCCTGGTAGGGCACATAGATGTTGTTGAGGCCACAAAGAAAGGCCGTCAGGATGATCATAAGGATGAACATGAACCTATAGGAAGAGTGAGGAAGGGTGAGACTCTAAGGGAAATCAGGCTTTGGTCAAGGAGGGCCCTTGGCTACCTTTTCCTGTCCTCTCCCCCTGTCTCTGCCCCAATCCCCCAACATTGGCTTGAGTCTCTGGGAGAAGAGGCATACCAGGAGGGACTGAAGTAGGAAGAATGTTGGTTAAGTAAGAATACTCAATTGCAGCTTCAATTTAGTGTCAAGATAAGTTAGGATAGAATTGGGGTGAGGGGCAAAGGTCAGGGTTAGGTTCAAGATGATGATTGGAATGGATTAAGGGTTGGGGTTCTGGTCAGAGGGAGGTTCAGAATAAATGAAGAGTTAGAATTAGGTTAAGGCTGAGGGTGAGCCATAATGAAGTCAAGGGTTAGGATAGAATTGGGAGAGGACTCAATTAAGGGTCACTTTCAGGAGGATTGGGTGGCAGGGGATGAGGGTTCAGGAAAGAGTAGTTTCTGGGTAGGGGTGAGGATAGAATTGGGATGGCTCAGGGTCAACATCAGGTATCTCACAGATCCCTTGCCAGAAGAAGGGTTAAGTTAGAATTAGGATAGATCTTCTTAACCTTGTTTGTGTCAGGGACCCCTTTGGCTGTCTACTGAAGTCTATGGGCTCTTCTCAGAATAAGGGTTTTAAGTAATTGAAGGAAATATTCAATTTCCATGATTGGTTAGTAAAAATAAAGATGTAATTTTTTTCCTATCATATATCATAGACTCCCTGGGGCCCATGGACTGCAGGTTAAGAACCTCTAAATTAGGGTGATAGGATAGGTCAGGAGCAGTGTTAAGGCCATGTAAAGGTTAAGATGGAACAGGAAATTCCAAAGTTCATCTTCCTGCTCAGGTATGGACTGGACTTAATGCCTTCTGAAGTTCCTGCCAACTCAGAGATTCAGGGATTCCATTATTTTTAGGATGAAGTCAAGGTCACTATTAAGGTCAAGAAATGGATTGAGGCCAGGTTTCAGATTATGGTTTGAGTAAGGGTTCTGCTCTTCCATGCACAGAAGAGAGCTGATGGGGGCAGCTAGGTGATGCAGTGGATAGAGCTCCAGCCTTAGAGTCAGGAGGACCTGAGTTTAAATCCAGTCTCAGATACTTGACACTTACTAGCTGTGTGACTCTGGGCAAGTCACTTAACCCCCATTGCCTCACCAAAAAGAAAAAAAAAAAGAGAACTGATGGGGAGGCAGGTCAGGGGTAAATGAATGGAAAGTTATTCCCCCCTTCTTCTCCCTGACCCCACCCAGCATGGTCCTGAGGAGACCAGGGAACTGAGAGAGAGGCTGTCCTCACCGGATCATATCATCAATCATCTTGCCAATGGAGATCTGCAGGGTGCCCAGTGACTCGTGGGCAGGCAGGATGTAGGCCAGGCGGGTGAAGCTGAGCATGCTGGTGATGGCAAACAGGACTTCAGCCACAAACTGGGGGTCTTCTGTGCGCCATTTGCTGCGCTCTGCTCAAGAGGAGATGTGAAATGGGTAGCAGGTGGGAAGGACTCCCAAACACCACTCTAGGGATTAGAGCAACATTCTCTGACTCTATGAGGGGTGGTGGATTAACCCACCTGTATCACAGGTTCTTTGCTAGGGCCTTCCCTGTAGAACTGTCTGGCAGACTACTTTTGGGTGCTTTGAACGCTAGAACGGTTACTCCCTTCTTCACCTGTCAGCCACACTCAATTTCCTTTTCCTTCTCTCACTAACCCCTTACATTGCCTTAACATTTTGTTTTACTGACCTCATCCTATTTTTATTGACTTTATCTTACTACCCTCATAATAGAGCTTTACATATATTATATCATCTTATCCTCACAACAATCCTGGGAGGTAGGTACTATTATTATCCTCATTTTACACATGAGGAAACCAAGGCAGTCAGAGGTGAAGTGGCTTATCCAAGGTTACACAGTTGGTAAGTGGCTGAGGCCAGACTTGAATTCAGGTCTTACCAACTCCAGGTCTTGCTCTCCATCCATTGGGTCACCTAGCTGCTAATATGAGACGATCTTTAAGGTTAGCCTATCAGATTCCCTCACTGGATTAGAAATCAGAGAGGCTTGAGTTCAAACCTTGCCTCATGAGCATTTACTAGTTATGAGCAAATAACTTATTCTCCCTAAGTTTTAGTCTCCTCATCTTTAAAATGGGGGACAATAATAATTTCTACCTCCCAGGATCAAATGAAATAATGGATATAAAGTACTTTAGCCTCAAAGCTACAGAAATGTCAGTTATTATTATTATTATTATTAATTATTATTATTATTTTCCGGCTGAGGATATTTAGAGTTGAGAGGGTAAAGGCATGAAGGGCCAAAGAGCTTTGAAGAGGCTTGAGCATCAGGTGGTGGCAGCACATCACATTGTGAAACTGGGGTAGATTTAGGGGGTAGAGATCATAGGATGGGGTGTCACTAAGCTAGGGAGGCCTAGAGATTACTGTTCAAGGGCATCATGAGTCTATGGAGACCTTGGAGGACTGGGACTCCCCAGGTAGATGCACTGTGGGCCAGGGGAAGAGTCAGAGCACCATTGTCAAGAAATTAAAATTCTATGAGGAAATCCAGGAACAAGATGGTGGGAGAGGCCTGGTGGAAAGCATCTTAGACATCACCATGATACTTGCTTGACTGTGCATATTTGTTACAATGGTTTTCTTTTTTCTTTTTTTTTTCAAAGAAGGGGAAGGTGGGAGGGAGAGAAAATAAATTTTGTTTATTGAGAAAATAAAATAAAATTTTACTTCACAGGGTGGGGACATAGTAAGACTGCAAGCTTTGGAGGGCTTAAAGATCACAGGGTGAAGGAATTGGGGATCTGGGGAATGACAGGGTGGGAATTGGGAGCCTGGGAGTCAAGAAGTTGGGGTCCTGGAACAAAGGGATTAATGACTTCAGGGCATGGCACTCACCAGCTGTGGTGAAGTAGTGACAGGCAGCACCATCTGGAGCATCCTGGCAGTGCAGCCAGGCTAACACTGCCAGGAGCACTCGGAGGGCAAAGGAAGCCAGGTACAGGGACAGGATGACCACGTCCAGGAAGTTCCACCAGTCCAAGAAGTAGCTTCGCAGGCCCTCAATCCACACCTCCTTACATTCGAACCACAGGAAGCCTGTGGCCAGAGGTCAGAGTAGGGAGAGCTCAGCATCGGCCCGGGTCTTTCCCTAAGGTGGAACCACCTCCCACGGCTGGCCACCCTCATGGAATTTGAGACTTTTTGATTTGGAAGAGACCTTAGAGATTCTTTATCCTGCTCCAACCCCACTTACAGAGGGGGGCACAAAAGTCCAGAGATAGAAAAGAACTTGCCTGTGGTCACAATGACCATCTCCAGCTTCTGAAAGAGGCCTTCCCCAGCTCCCCCCACTGCTAAGGCCTTCCTTCCCTCTAAGATTACCTCCAATTTTCTATATAGATAGAGGTATGGCTATATAATCTTGTATGTACATAGTTGTTTGCATTAGAATGTGACCTCCTTGATAGCAGGCACTGTGTTTTTGCCTTTCTTTGTATCCTGAATGCTTAGCACAGTGCCTGCCTATAAGCATTTAATAAATGCTTGTGGACTTGACTTGACTTGATTTGACCTCTTACATGAGGCCTTTCTTGACTGCTATACCTCTGCAGCTTCAAGATACTTCTAGAATTACCTTGTTTTTACTGTGTAAATATTTTGTATGTAATTATATATGTACATGTAGTAACCACCCCCAATATCCCCCTCCATGAAACTATAAGTTCTTTAATGACAGGGATTGTTTCAGTTTTATCTTTGCATCCTGGTAGGTGTTTAATAATAAATGTTGATTGTTTAATTGAAATGCCAGAACCAAGACTCAAAAGTCCTCTGATGCTCTTTCCATTCACTACAAAATGCTGCCTCACTTCATCTGCTACCATGAGAGGATTGCCTCCGGGACTCAGAAAGGTGAATTAGTGGATAGAGCACTGGAGTTGGAGGACTCTGGTTTGAATGCCAACTTTGCTACTTACTACCTGTGTGACCTTGGGTAAGTCACTTCACTTTTCTGGGCTTTAGTTTCCACATCTATAAAATAAGTGGGATGAACTAGATGAACTAAATTAAGATTTCCAGGTCTAAATCCTAGGAAATTCTTTTAAAGGTATAGGGTAAATGAAAGGGATTGAGGAATGCTGAGGTTCCAAGGTTGAGTTTGCTTGGCCTAGAGAACAAGATTCAGGGGAACCATGATCATGGTCTTCAGTCTCATCAAGGCCATCTTGGGGCAGAATGAGTGACATTGTGACCCACAAGGGGTGAGGCATCCCCAGCCAGGGAGGTCATCTGCCCCCCTCCAACCGAACTCCATACCTGCAACCCAGATCATGTGCAGCGAGTTTTCCCAGACACTCTGGCTTCGACCCTTGAAGGTGCCCAGCTGAGTCTCCATGACCAGTGACTCTCCCAGCAGAAAGATGAGGAACCATAGGTAGGAGGCTGAGTGTAGAAGAAATTTGAGCACTGGGATCTTCAGCAGACGACCCAGCTGTAGGGAGAGGAGTAACTGTGAGGGTTCTGAATCCAGCAACTGATCTCTCTTATCTCCTCCAGACTTCTTTCTTTAACTGTACCAGACAACAGTGATCTCCTGTAGACTTAAGAATATGTCACAGAAACCAACCCAACTCAACTCAGTCTCACCCAACTCAACCCAATCTAACATAACTCTACCCAATCCAACCCAACCCAACTCAACCTCTTCCAACCCAACCCAATTCAATCCATCTGATCCCAACTCAACCCATCCCAACTCAACTCAATTTGACCCACCTCAACCCCACCCAACCCAACTAAACCTAACTCAACCCAAACCAATCCAATGCAACCCAATTCAACTTAACTCATCCCAACTCAACTCATTTCATCCCAACTCAACTCAACTGAACCTAACTTATCCTAACCCAGATCAATCCACTCACCCACCCAGTACAGTAAATTAGACTTGGAATCAGAAGATCTGCGTTCAAGTCCTACTCCTGACATTTCTTATCTATGTGACCTTGGTAAATCAGTTCATCTCCATGAGTTTTCCCCCATCTCTGTTTCTTTGTTATTGTTTTAATCACCTACCCTCAGAGTTGGAAGGGACCTCAGCGACCATTTAATCTGTCTTTATATAGGAATCCCCTCTAAAACATCATTAACAAATGGTCGTCCAACCTTCCACTAAAGAACTCTAGTGAAGTCCACCACCACCAGGTAGCTCATTCCACTTTGGGATTACTTTAATCATGTTTTCCTTCTATCAAATCTAAATATGTCCTCTGTACAACTTTCCCTGCACCCCCTCCCCCCACACACACATTTCTCCTCTGAGGTCAAGCAGAGTAAGTCCAATCCCTCTTTCACAGGACAGCCCTTCAAATACTTAAACATAATTATCCTGTCTTCCTACCAAGCCTAAATATCAACAGTTTCTTCAAGCATACCTCCTACTACCATGCAGCCCAACGTGGCATAAGTTTGTTTTGGCTGCATCGTTATACTGCTGTCTATAATAATAATAATGATAACCATGATAATAATAACTAGCATTTATATAGCACCTACTATGTGCCAGGCACTGTGCTAAGCACTTTACAAATATCATTTCATTTGGTCCTCACAACCCTACAAGTTATGTGCCAGTATTATTCCCATTTTACAGTTGAGGAAACTGAGGCAGAGGTGAACTGACTTGGCCATGGTCACACAGCTAGTAAGTGTTTGAAAGCTGGATTTAAACTTAGGTCTTCCCTACTATAGGCCCAGCCATGAACTTCACTATCTAGCTCAGCAGTATTGAGCTTATAGCGTGCTGAAAGGCCCCAGCTCCAGATCTTATTCTCAGCCAAACTCTGAAGCTGGTGAAGTTTGTCTTCAGTTCTACTGGCCTTCTGTTCTGTGTCCTTCAGAGTGGGAGCTTGGAGAGTAAAGATTGTCTTTTGCCTTCTTTGAATCCCCAGCATCTAGCATGGTGCCTGGACCATTGTAAGCACTTAAGGGCCTTCCTGCTCTTTCCTCCCTTTGCTCTATGATCCGGCTCTTAGAAAAGGAAAAGATAACTCTTCACACTGAGGTAGAGATGACTGATAATAGATTTCAATAAGATTCCTCTCTGAGGGGATTTACCTTTTAAGGGGTAAAAATCCCTAGGCAAAGACTTGAAGTTTTGTGGTAGAATTTCCCCTTTTGAAAGCTAGGACCCAAGTAACACACCTCTACCCATCCCATTCCCCAGACTGGCCCAGATTATCTCCATCATTTATTTCAGATATCCATCATCTGTTAGGCCTCTACCATGTGCTAGGTACAGCACATGTACCAGTGGACCAGTGGAAAGAGCACTGAACTTAGAGTCACAGGACCTGAGTTCAAATCCTAGGCCAGTCACTTAATGTGACCTTGGCCAAATAAATTAGTCTCCCTGGGCCTCGGTTTTCTCATGTGTAAAATGGGGGGGGGGGGTTGACCAGATGACTTCTAAGGTCTGTTTTTAGCCTTAGGTCTATGACCCTATGACCCCTTCTTAAACTGACTTACATGGAACAGCTTCTACCCTGAGAGAGGAGAGAAAGAATGGAGGATAAGGGGAGGGATAAATGGCACCTACCCTTGACTTGGGTGCCAGCCAATAGCCCAGGCAGAGGAAGGGCATGGTGAGGAAGATGATGAAGGAGACAAACAGCTTCCAGATCGTGGTACTGCCCCTCCAGCCAGCTAGGTTTCCACACCAGATGGAGGAAAGGACCTGCTGGCAGATGGGGTGGGCTACAAACTGAGCAGAAATAGGAGAGTAAGAAGATGGCTAGGGTCATCTCCACTATAACCCTACCCTCTCCTCCTCCCTGAGGCTGTCCTTTGACTCCAAACCTCAAGTGGCCTGAAGGGGAGGAAGGTAAGAGGTCAGAGAAGCCCAGGGACTATGGCTTAGGGTGTTGTTAATGGGATGGAAAGACTTGGGATAGAGGAAGAAGGCCTGAGGCTGATGAGCTGGTGGGGTCCAAACTTAAGTGGGGTCAGTAACAGCAGAAGGGCTAGGCTGAGACTTGAGATGCTTAATGTCTTTGGAACTCAGCTTTCTCATCTTCAAAATGAGGGGCTTAAAACTGTGGTAAAATAAATATGAAGAGTTCAGAAAAGTTTAAGAAGATCTATGTGAATTGATGCAGACAGAAATAAGCAGGATCAGGAAAATAATATACACAGTGACTATAACAATGCAAACAGAAGGAACAATAAAACAACAAAACTGAATATTGTTTGATGACCAGAAATGACCCCGAGAAGGCGAGAAAATGCTTCTTCCTCCATTCATCACAGAGGTGGGGGACTATGGGTGTTGAATATTATGTTTACTATCAGACAAAACTGAATGAATTGCTTGATTTTGCTGAACTGTTTTTCTTCCTTTCTTATAAGAGAAGACTCAGTGAGTAGGGAGAGGAAGAAAGAGATCTATTTGGAAACGAATGTAATATAAAAACAAAAAGTGTCAATTAAAAATTAAAATTAAATTAAATTATATCTATTCTAGCTTCAAATCTTATCATTTTGAGCTTTAATCAATCAATATGCACTTTTTTTTTTGGTGAGGTAATCAGGGTTAAGTGACTTGCCCAGAGGCACACAGTAAGTGTCAAGTGTCTGAGGCCGGATTTGAACTCAGGTCCTCTTGACTCCAAGGCCAGAGCTCTACCTAGCTGCCCCATCAATAAGCATTTATTAAGAGCCTACTATGTGCTAGGCATTGTGCTAAGCACTGAGGATACCAAGAAAGGCAAAAGACAGTTCCTTATGATTTTAAAGAGCTCACAGTCTAAGGGGAGGAGGTAGGGGAGAGACAAAATGCAAACTATGTACAAACTAGCTATATGCAGGATTACTGGTAAGTCATCAACAAAAGGAATGCCCTACATTAAAGGGGATCAGGAAAGACTTTTTATAGAAGGTGGGATTTTAGTTGGAATTTGAAGGAAGCCAAGAGGTAGAGAGGAAGATGGAGAGTGTTTCCAAGTATGGGAGACAACCAGTGAAAATGCTTGGACTTGGGAGATGGATTACTTTGTTCGAGGAAAAGCAAGGAGGCCAGTGTCACTGTATCACCAATTACCTGGGGTGAGTAAGGTATAAAGTGACTGGAAAGGTGGGAGAGTGCCAAGTTATGATGGGCTTTGAATGCCAAACAGAGGATTTTGTATTTGATCTTGGAGGTGAAAAGAAGACACTGGAGTTATTGAATAAGGGGTGACATGGTCAGACTTGTTCCTTAGGAAGATCAATTTGACAAGAGTGGAGGAAGGACTGGAGTGAGGAGACACTTGTAGCAGGGAGATTACAACAGTGGAAAGTTATTGTAATAGTTCAGGTGTGAGGTGATGAGAGACAGCACCAGGGTGGTGGCAGTGTTAGAGGAGAGAATGAGATACATATGACAGATGTTTCAAAGGTAGAAATTACAAGGCTTGGAAACAAATTGGATATGGGAGGTCCTTAGATAGTACTTAGATTGCAAGCCTGGGTGATTAGAAGGATCATGGTACCCTCAACTGTAATAGGGAAGTTCAGAAGAAGGGAGGGTTTAGAGAAAAAGATAATGAGTTTAGCTTTGGTCATACTGAATTTAAGATTTATATGGAATATTCAATTGGAGATGTCCAATAGGTGGTTGGAACATGAGATTGGAGGTCAGTAGAGAGGTTAGGGCTGGGAATTAGATCTCAGAATCATTTGTGTAGAGACGATACTTGAATCCGTTATAGCTGATGAGATAACCAAGATAAATAGTGTAGTGGGAGAAGAAAGCCCAGGACAGATCCTTGGGAGACACCCCAGGTTAGTGGGCATGATTTGGACAAAGATCCAGTAAAGGAGATTGAGAAGGAGTAGTCAGGTAAATAGGAGGAGAACAAGAGAGAGTGGTGTCATGAAAATCTAAAGGGAAGAAGGTGAAGGTGATTAAAGAGTTGATCATCAGTGTCAAAGCCTGCAGAGAAGTCAAGAGGGATGAAGATTGAGAAGAGGCCATTAGACTTGTCAATTTAGAGATCATTAGTAACTTTGCAGATAACAAACAGTTTTGACTAAATGACAAGATCAGAAGCCAAACTATAGACAGTTAAGAAGAGAGGGAGAGTAAAGGAAGAGGAGGCACTAATTATAAATGGCCCTCTCCAAGAGTTCAGCCACAAAATGGAAGAAAGTAGGATGATAGCTATCAGGGACAAGGGAGGGTCTTTTGAGGATGGGGTGGGACACGAGTATTTTTGTAGGAATTAAGGAACCAGCCAACAGGAAGGGAAAGATTGAAGATAACTGAGAGAATGAGAATGATAAAGGGGGGAATCTGCTGGAGAAGACTGAATGGAGTGGGATGACTTGTGTATGTAGAGACATTGGCCTTGGCAAGGAAAAGGGCCACCTCTCCATGTAAGACAGGGGTGTAGGAGGGGATAATGGCAGAAAGCATCCAGCTCTTGTAAGATGAGGAGGGAGGGAAAAGAGAGGGCTCTCAGGAAATGGTTAGAATTTTCTCAGTGAAATATGGAGCAAAGCTCTCAGCTGAGAGTGTGGAGGGAGAGGAAGATATGGGAGATTTGAGGAGAAATGGAAAGGTTTGGGATAAAGAGCTGTGATGAATGGGACAGTAAGTCGAATAGAGAAGTGTAAAAGGATTCCTTTGTGGCAGTGAGGGCCCAGTTGATATTACATAACAGATTTATAGAGGATCCAATACAGCTTCTTCATTCATCAGTATGTTAGTAGGAGCAAAGGCAGCAGACGGGGGTAGTAATCCAAGGCTGAGGCTTGACAGGGCTAGATAGGTGATGGGATAAAGGGGCAATGGACTGGAAAGAAGAGGATAGTGTACAGTTGAACTGGTTCATTAATGGGGTCAAGATAGGGAAGGAAGAATGTAGCCAGTGCTGGGAAAGAACTGAGTGCTGGAGGAATTGGTGGTCACACTGAGAAGTAAGAAGGGTTTGGGGTTGCAAGGCAGAGAGAGAAGTGGAAGGATAAGAGATTGTGATCCGATAAGAGAATTCCAAAATTTATGAACCTCGAAGTGGAACACTTATGGGAGGTGGCAAAAACAGAAGTATGTATGACCAGCTCTGTGTAGCTGAGGCAGGGTGAAGGAGTAGGTCATGGGAAACGATTAAGTAGAGGACTTGTTTGAGGGAGTATCAATATATATGTTGTGTTCCCTAGTATGAGGGCAGGAGTTGGGGAGGAGGGATCAGCCAGGCACTGAACTCATTGAGGAAAGAAGAGAGGGCCTTAGAAGTCAGTAGACAACAGCTAACAGAATTTTGATTGAGTGAGAGATATAAATTAAGTGAATCATTAAAGAAGAAAGGTTACTGAGTGATGGTGGTATGGAGAGCTTGGGGAGGCAGCTAGGTGGCACAGACCTTGGAGTCAGGAGGACCTGAGTTCAAATCCAGCCTCAGACACTTGACACTTACTAGCTGTGTGACTGTGGGCAAGTCACTTAATTCTGATTGCCTCACCAAAAAAATAAAATAAAATAAAAATATAGAGAGCTTGGAAGTAGCAACGTGGAGCAATGAATATTCCAACTCCTCCACCTCAACCAGTGGTTGGGGGGTGAAAGTGCAGCCAGTGCTGGAAAGGATGGCCAAGAAAACTGTGTCATCAGGAGCCAGAGGATGGAAGGAGTAGGGAAGGAAAATGCAAGCAAGCTTGTCACATATGAAGTAGGCACTCCAGAAGAGCACAGTGGGAAGGGAAGGTGGCCTTGAAATGGGACATTGGCATACTTGGGTTGAGGTGGATGAAATAAGGGAGCAGATGGTGGAGGGTGGGGAAATGAATTTGAATAATGACAGCCTGGAATTCAGAATCACTGGGATGGGGGAGGGATTGGCTGGTGCAAGTTTGCTCATCACTGAGGAATGCAGAGTGGAGTTCTCTCAGGGTTTTTTAGGCAGTTCAGGTGAGGCGACTGACTAGTGAGGGAGCCAACAGAATGGTGTTCTATGACTAGGACTGGGCCTGGAAATCTGGAGAAGGCATCAGGAATGAGGACTTGGGAAGGGTGTCTGGGAGATTAAGAGACTAGGTGAAAAGGACAAAGGAAAAAGGACAGGAGATAATGGATGTGGAGGAAAGCTACTAGGCCTAGACTGGAAATTCTGGGGGTAGTGGATTCATATAGGGGGATCAGGCATAGGGCAGGGAGCAGAGGGAAAGCATCAATGGGTGTTGAGGGAAAGTGAGAGAGATAGGAGCTGGGACTGGGATTTGGAGTGAGGAAGATTGGGATGGGAGGAAAGGGGCCACAGATTAAGCTGAACCTAGGTTCAGGTGTTTTAGGCATAGGGAGAGGGAACTGGGGCTAGGCAGGTGAGGGGAAACTAGGAACAAGGAAGGCAAAGGGGAGGCCAAGTATGAGGGCTAGACCAGGGGACCAGAACATGGTAGGGTTGTGGGTGCCTGTGCTAGGTTCCAAGGGATAGACAGGAGGATGCTGGAGGCTGCTGCTAGGGGAAGGGGTTAGGGTCCGGGCTGGGGTCCAAGGCCAGTCTTGATGATGTAGGGGCTAGCCCCAGGCTCAAGCCAGGGTCTCAAACTGGGTAGAGTGAGGTAGACAGAAGAATGAGGGCAAGGGGAACAGAATCTGACCCGCTTTTGGTTGTAGTTGACGGCTAGACGCAGGCGGGCAAGGTTGGGGATTCCCTCCTCAAAGGCCTGGCCCAGGCCCTCAGCCTCAGTTTCACTGTCTTCGCCCAGGTCATTGAGTACGGCAGTGACCTCACTCTGGTTGCGGCACATTCCAAGCAGCTCAAATCCATAGTCTTGGCTCAGCTGCTCCAGGGCAATGTATTCGGGCTATGAGATGGGAGAGTGGGTACCATTCCAGTTTAGGTACCCCAGGACCACATCAACCTTAAGTCTGTCTGTTCAATTGCTGCACAAACCCTGAAATGTCTCTGCTTTAACCCGAGGTTATCTCTATCCCAACCCTATGTCTTCTCTGCCTTAGCCCCTTGATCCCTCTGCCCTCAACCTGGGTCACCTCTGCCTGAACTTTATACTATCTCTAGCCTCACCTTCTGTCGCCTGTGACTAGGGCTCCCAGCCAAGGAGGCAGGCTATCTGGGGCATGAGGAAACACTTTTCTTCAAGCACTTTGGGGCCATGGAGATCCTGTCCCTAATGATCTTCATGGACAGTATTGGGTGGAAGCAACGGACATGTTTATGGTGAAGATGACTCAAGTGGAATACAACTATTTTCAAACATCAAGTGGAACAATCAATCAATAAACATTAAGTGCCTACTATGTGCCAGACACTGAGCTAAGCATTGGAAGAATTAGATGTGCATTGCTTAGCCCCAAAGGAACCAGGAACAAGGAGGTGATGTCACCCACTGGAAGAATTTATCTCTGCATAAAGAAAAGCTTTCTAAAACCAACCATCCAAAAACACAACAGCCAGTCTCAGGAAAGAGTGATGGGGAACATCACTGGATGCCTTTAAAAGCTGGATTGTCCCTTGTCAGCAATATTGTAGAAGATTCTTCTTCAGGTATGGGTCAGTCTAGAAGCCCCCTAAAGGTCCTTCAAATTCAGGAGGGCCTGTCTGTGATTTTGTGTGATGTTGATGACATAGTAGCTTATTAAAGGAGCAGAGGGTTGAGTCTTGGTTCCTTCCTAGAAGTTGGAGCTTCTTTGAAGGAAGAAAACCTCTAAAGACAGCCATGGTCTTGTATAACCCAAGGCCCTTCTTCCAGATGAAGGGCATGGCTGGTGTTAGTGAACACTGGAAAGTTAAATGCCTCACAATCTGTTTAATCAGTGGAAGCTAGGGGCTCTGGTTTAGAGTCTTGTGATGTGATAGTGTTTGTGGTGTAGCTCAAAGAGTGTGGACTAATTTTTACTCCAGAGGAATAAGGATGATACATACCTCCCTTGTCTCCTTAGAGATGCGATGAATTACAGGTATGGAGTGAGAAATAGGCTGCCAAACATGGTTGGATGTGTCAGTTTGTTGAATTCTATCTATCTTTTTTTTTTTTCTTTTTGGTGAGGCAATCAGGGTTAAGTGACTTGCCCGGAGTCACACAGCTAGTCAGTGTCAAGTGTCTCAGGCTGGATTTGAACTCATGTCCTCCTGACTTCAAGGCAGGAGCTCTATCCACTGTGCCACCTAGCTGTCCCTACCTCAGTCTTTCAATGGAGGATTCTACTGTCAGGAGGGAGGGAGGAGTTTTAGGTAGGGATAGCAATGTAAAGAGAAGCATTTTCTATATAGATATCTATGTATTTGAAGGGCTGTCAAATGGAAGAATCAATCAATAAGCATTTATTAAGTGCCTACTATATGCAACTAGGTACTGTGCTAACCACTGGGAGAATGAGACATGTGTGCATATGTGTGTGTGTGTGTGTGTGTGTGTGTGTAGATACAAATACACATGTACTCCCCTATCCTGGCAACAGAAGACTCCTTTGTAAGATACACAATTACTATTTATATACAACATACATGCATCTATTATTTCAGATATTCTATATTATATATCATAGTATATTATATGTATATGGGGTGTCCCAACAGTTTTAAGCTTTAATAATTTAATAAACTTTAATAGCTTAATTTGGGACTCCCTATATAATACACATACATGATATTATGCCTATATACTTTTAATATATAGTATGTATGTTATATGTGTGTGTGTGTGTGTGTGTGTGTGTGTTACAGCACAGAGCGCTATACTAGGACTCTAGTATCCCATCTCTGGGCCTCAATTACCCTCTCTTCAAAATGAGGATTATCACCCTTGCCTTGCCTACACAAGGCTGTGGTGAAGACCAGATCAATTCACTGAGCCACAGAATCTCAGAGCCGGGGCAACCTCAGAATCCATCTCGTTCATTCTATACCTGAAAAGGAGCCCCCTCTATCTTATGCCTGACATGTGGTTTTCCAGCTTCCACTCAAAGCCTTCCAGTGATTAGGAACCTACTGCCCTGCCTCCTTGTGTGGAACCCAATTCTTCCTCCTTGAAGCTTCTACTCATTGTTTTCCCTGGAGCCTCTCTTCCCGACCACATCCCCCTCTTCTTAACCTTTCTTCCCGCCAGGCCTGGTTTCAAAAAATCGTCCTTCCATCCTCCTCCCCCTCCCCACCCCCACATTTTGATCTCTGTGCCTTTGGTCTGAAATAACTCTTTCCTCTTCTGATTAGCCAAATTGAAGTTCAAATCTCTCTTCCATGAAGTCTTCCCCAATTACTCCACCCTATATTGCTCTCTCCCTACTATGAACCCTTAGAGCCTGCACCCATTTTGGTCTTTAATCAGTGCTTATGTTGTATATTTCATGTCTCATCTCCCAAATGATATAAGCTCCCCAATATGCAGGGCCATCTTCCTACTCAGACCAGGAGCTAACCCAGGGCAGGGGCAGTGTCCACTCACTCCTATTGAAGACTAGAGAATCTGAGAGATGGGACTCTCTTCCCCCCTTAGATCAGATGCTCCCTGAAGGCAGGGGCCAATCATTTCCCTCCCACTTAGAACACCCAGCATAAGGTTCTGACTACCTCTGGGGTGTGAGAGACCAACCTTGAACTCTGGCTCCTTGCGGGCCAAACGCCTGAGCTCTCGGCTGAGCTGGAAGGCAGCCAGCATGGCATCCTCACTGGCCAGGGAGAGGTGGGCACGGCTAGCAATGCCCCGATAGGTGTTAATTCGGGAGAGGGAGAACTTGAGCAGGTCATAGCGGCGGGCGTTGCTACACTCCAAACAAGAACAGGAGATGGGGTGGGGACGGGCAATAGCATGGCCCTGACTCATGAGGAGCTGGGCAATCTCATACAGGTCCTTCTGACAGGCCAGCGTGAGCGGTGTAACACCAGGAGCAAAACGAGACCCATCAATGGACGAGTCAAAGAAGGCCAGAGAGAAGGACTTGGTGTCCACCTTGCGGCCTTTCTCACGCTCCAGCCTGGACAGCAGGCGGCGCACCACTACGGGCTGGTTTGTGTCCACTGCCACCAGGAGAGCCTCATGGATTTGCCGGAAGTCAAACTTGACCTGGGCCAGCAAAACATCAGTGATGGTTTCGTGGCCCAGCCGGATGGCCAGATTCAGTGCCTCTCTCCAAGAGCGGTCCTCGGCCTCCTCCAGCTGACGTTGTGGTCCCCCAGTACCTCCACCCCCACCCCCACTTGCCTCCGTCCCTGCGGATTCTAGCAGCTGCTGCACCAAGCCCAGCCGACCCTCCTGGATGGCACCAAGCAGGGGGGGAGGAAAACGGAGTTTCCGGTTCACGATCTCATTCCAGTTGGGCTGGGGCTAGAGGGAAGGAGATGCCAAGAATTCTGACCTGATTCTCTTAATCTCTGCACCAAGGAGCCCTCAACCCAACTCTTTTTCCCTACAATCCTTTAACCTCAGATGCTCTTTTCCACGCTAATGATCTTTTTCTTTCCTGCCCTTAGTGATTACTCCACTTGTCTCCCCCTAGTGACTCAAGATCACTTTCTACCACTCGTACTATACTACCCCCTCCCAAACTCCCGTCTCTCCAATCCTCCCCCACCCCAACCTAAGCCATCCTTGCCTTTTCCCATTCACCCTCTAAGCAGTAATACAAGGAGCCCTAAATGAGATTTCTTGTGTTTTATTTTGTAAAGGATCTGAGGTCGGTCAGGGGTCAGATGTCTCTATTCACCTTTGGTGGTTTAAAAAAAATGATTATTTTATGAAAACCAGGTTTCCTTATCTTAACTAGGCTGGAAGTGCAGGGGCCATACACAGGAGCCTCTAAGCCCATTCTGATCTAGATAGCAAGTTTGACCTGCTATTTCTGACCTAGACTTAGGCAACCTGAGGGCTCACAACATTGATGCCAAACTTAGTGGAGTGGGAGCACCCAATCAGCATAGCCTATGGCAACTCAGAACTCCTAAGCTTAAGATCCACCAGCCTCAGGCTCCTTGGTAACAGGGATTACAGGTGTGTACCACCATGTCCCGCTCTATGCACCTTTGTACCTCACTCAACCTAACCTAGCTTAGGGCCTCATGGGCAAACAGAGGAGATAAGCTAAATTGTAGAAGGGTTCCATGAACAAGGATTGGCAAGACTGCCTACCTCTTCCTTTCCTTGATGGCTATTTGATACAAGGGGCTGGGAGCCTGGACTCCTGACTTCCAAAGCTCTGATCTCCAAGGTCCCCTCTACTGCTAAAATTAAAATCCTGGCACCAGCCCCTGAATGAGGCTAGGCTAGACATGATCTCTGTACCCGACCCTGATCTACGCATAAGCAACTACAGGTTGAAATAGTGGGGACCCTACTCCCTGCCCCCACCTGGTTGTTTCTTGCCAGCTGCTACCCCCCCTCCAATGAATCACTGGAGCCCTTCTGTCTAGGGCCCCCTCCCTGAAGCTGAAATGAACACAGTACACTGGGTACACAGTAGCCCAGGGCTTCTGGAGACGGCTCCCCTGGGGCTTTTTCTAAACCCTCCAATAACACCTTCCCCCAGACAGGACCCCAACACTCACTAGGTCTATATCCCCTCTTGTCCTTGAATTCTCTTACTGCCTCCAACCCTAAGTTGAAAAAATGAAGGGGTCTCTACTCTCCCCCAACCAAAAAATTCTCAGTGCTGGTCTAGTAGCTGAATGCAGGTTCTTTTTGGGAGAGCAGCTGCCATGCTGAGATTTAATGAGACCATCAGTGAAGGCAGGGGAGGGGGCAGTGGTGAAGGTCCTTACCGTGAAAGAATCCATGGCTATGCCCTCCTAGTCTTCTTGTTCTGTTTGCTCCCTTTGGGATGCCCAACTCTCTTATGCACCCAGACCCCGCCCTAGGCTGGGCCCTGCCCCCTGCCAGGACCAGCTGCTCCCCATCCTCTGCCCAGCTTTGCCCCTCAGGGACCTGGAGAGTAAACACATGTATCACAGCACGTTTGGGGTGGAGTGGGGGGCAGACCCTGTCACCTTAACTGTGGAAGAGCAGCAGGATGGGAGGAAGCTTAGCTGGGTTCTCTCGGCACACCCTTTCCTCGCATACCCTCGCCGGCTTAGAATCACAGAACTTCAGAACTGAAAGGGACCTCAGGGGTGGTGTAGTCATCGTGTACCCAAACGAGAACCCATTCTAAAGGATCCCCCAAATGGTCATTCAACTTCTATGTGAAAACCTCTGGTAATGGGCAATGCAATACCTTCAAAAAGTCCTTTTCAGTTTTGGAAAACAATGCCATTTGCAAAATGTTTTTCCTTTTATTAAACTGAATTCTGTTTCTCTGCAGCTTCCTAACATTGGTCCTAGTTCTGCCTTTAACCAGTCCCCATATGGTATGGTTCCCAGGCCTCTCCGTCTTGGTCACTCTCTTCTGTACTTGCTTCAGCATGCAGCTGTTCCTCCAAGAATGTGACTTCCTCCTCCAGGCCTTCCTGGATGCATCAGTGCCGCTTGATGCTCCAGCCAGTCATCTCTCTGTAGGGGACCGGAGGAGGGGAGGGACCTTTCCTTGGGGAGCAGTCCTGCTCCCCTACCTAAGCATCTCCCCACTGCATCAGCCCTTGATCCTTCCCCGCCTGGTGGGCTCTTCACTCCTCACAGTCCTTTCTGGCCCATCACCCGCTTCAGCCACTGGTCCCATCAGGTCTTCGGGGGTAAGAGGGAGAAACTTTCTCCAAGAAGTCTTCCTCTAATACTTCATGAAGATTACTGTCTCATTGCTTACAAGTCAGTTTTTAGATGATGGCAAAACTTTCAGGGTACCTGCAAAAACCCTGAAATACTGAGGTGTGTAGATAACAATCCCTTAGTTATAAATGAGCAAACTGAGACCCAGCAGGGTTTCACCATTAATTAAGTGGCATCTCCGATTGTTCTGACTTTTGAGCTCACCAGAGGACCTGGAGTTAAACATGAAGTTTTTACATAAAAAGCATCTTCGCTGTTTGCCTACTTCCTTGTGACATAGGGAAAACAGGGTTAACATCCCAGGACAGGTTCTTCTGGATCACACAATCATTCTTTGGCTCCACTGGGCCTTAGTTGCTACTTGGATACATTTGGAACAAGGCTGAGGTTCTTTTGTGCCACCAGGAGGGAGGGGCACCAAGCAGAACACCACAGCCCAGGTCTGTTTATCCATTAGTCTAAACTGACTTCCCTGGGAGAGGGGCAGGACTGTCGGCAGGGAGCTGAGGGCCCTGGCAACAGCTGTCATGGCAACCTGGAATAGTAATGAAGCTGAGCCCAGTGTTATCAGCAATCCCACAGGCTCCTGAATTCTGCCATTTCAGGCTCTTCCACAACCATCAGAAAAATAAAGGTGGGGGTGGGGAGAAGGGCTACAAGTCCTCTCGGGCCTTATCTTGTAGCTTGTACCTCCACATTCCTGGAATCTAGCAAGATGGCTGTGTGAAGAAGTCAAAGCATGTGGGGCATGAAGGTCTAGTCCAGGCCCATCCAGGGAATCTCAGGAGGTTCCCCACACCTGCTGGCATGCCACGCCACCTCCCTTGCTGCGAACTGGCACTGGCAGATGGGGCATTGCACCCAGGCGGGGAGTAGTGTGCTCTCCAGAGAGGACTCGGAGTGCAGTGAGGGTGGAGTCCGAGATGGGGACGAAGAGGAGATGGAAGACGAGGATGAGGAAGGTGAAGCTGGGTGAGGTGGGGTGCTCTCTCCACAGGTGGCAGCATGGAGGGGAAGGACCTCAAAGCTGAAGGACCCTGGGGAAGAGGAAAGTAAGAGACAGAAGGGTGGAGGAGTGAACAAAACTGGCCTGAGTCCTTTATGAAACCTGCACTAGGCTAAAGTCCACAGAGTGAGAGAGGCTCCTTAGCAAAGATAGCTACTTCTGGAAAAAGCCAACCTAGCTGTTGGGCGTCTGAATCAGAGATGCACACCCCATCCTGCCTGGCCGTGCCCTCCAGCTAACACAGCTGTATCATCTCCCCAGGCACAAAGGCTGCCTCTTTTCCTGCTCCTGACTCACACAACCTGGGCCAACGTGGACCTTCACTCACATACAGCAAGTGCTCAGTAATTATATGCTGACCCATTCTCACCGCTCCAGAAATCTCCTCTCCACTAAGAAACCTTCTAACACTAAGCCCAGACTCAAAGCACTTTTCCTTTCCTAGATGACCTGAACACTATAAATATGTATCATCCCTTCCTGAACTGGACTGGATTACAGCCATTCACTGCACATTAGTCAGACCTGCCTCTCTCTTACACATCCCCTAGCAAAGAGCCTCGGGCACAAAGCAAGCAGACAAAACAACCTGCCCTCCCTCTTCATCTCTGCCTGTAGAACCTGCACCCCCATCCTTCGTGGCCTAGCTCAAATGCCATTTACACCATGATGATAACAGCCCTTCAAGGTTTGCGGAGCATTTTATATAATTCATCTCATTTGAGCCTCACAACCGTCTTGTGAGAATGCTATTATTACTTCCATTTTACCGATGAAGCTTACGGGATTTGCCATGACCACATAGCTAACAGATGCCAAGTCTAAAGCAAATATACTTCCATTTTACCATACTGCCTCTGTGAAGCATTCCTTGATCAATCAACAAACAGAGCCATCTGCTGGAGGACCAGGAACAGTAGAGTTCTGATCCTTTGAGGGATAAAACTCATAAAGAGGAAACTGCAATTGGCAACCAATCGACAAACATTTATTAGTAGCCTACTACGTGCCAGGCACTGTGCTAAGTGCTGGGAATACAAATACAAAATCTGAAACAAGGGCATCCCTCAAAGAACTTCCATTTTATCAGGGACGAGCTCATGTACATATGCGAGCATGGGCAGAATAAATACGAGGGAGTCAAATACCAGGTAGCTGGGAAAAGAAAGAACCACCATTTAGGCTAGGGAAGGCTTGGGAAGAGCCTTAAAGGAAAAGAGGGGACTTGGTAAAGCAGAAGTGAGGAAGGAGCACTTAGAGGAGAGCCCACGCAAAGACACTGGCTCTGAGAAGGCTATTTGGGAACAACAGAAAGTGGGAAAGAGAAGGATGCATGAAGAAGCCAGAGAGATAGCCTAGGGCCAAGCTGTGAAGATCTTTAAAAGCCATATGGAAGAGTTTATGGTTTATCCCAGAGGGAAAAGAACGCCACTGGAGTTTACTAAGGAGTGAAAAATCACTTTGGCAACAGGGTGAGAGATTGGTGGAGAGGCTTAAAATAGGGAGGCCATTGCAAAATTCTAGGCAACAGGTGATTAATTGAACTGAGGTTGGGGTGATCTGAGGGTGTGAGCAGAAAGAAGGGACTGAATGGGAGTGATGTAGAAGGGGTAGAAATGGCAAGACTAGACAATTGTTTGGATACCTGGGTTGAGAATAATGCTGAGGGTATTAACAGAAAATATTAGAAGAATGGTGTTATTTTCAACAGAAATATTGAAATTTTCGAAGAGGGGTGGGTTTGGGGGACATGCTGAGTGAATATATGTTAAATGTGTTAGTGAAGTACAAACCGGTACATGAGATTCAAGGGGGAAATGTCATGATCAACTCAAAGGATGCAGGAAAGCTTCAGTGACATTTCACAACATCTAAAGAGTTGGAGAGGCCCTCGGAGCCCACACAATCCAACACAGGCCTGAATAAGATGCCCTTCTACCTGTCTTCAACACTAGCCATTGGACCTTTTCTTGGAGACCCCCCTGAAGAAGAGGTGGGTGGGGTCCTACATTCCACTTTGAGATAAGTAAAGAATTGCAAGAGAGACTTTGTCAAATGCCTCAATGAAATCTAGGTAAACCACATCTACGGCATTCCTCTGATCTTGGGGTCACCCTGTATTCCTGACTCTGTTGTTAAATCTTGTTGATTCTATCTCCATAATCTCTCTCTCGAATCTCCCCAGTTCTGTATATTAACATCACAACCACCCTGGTGCAGGTCCTTATCACCTCTCTTCTACATTATTTTTATAGGCTCCTAAGTGGTATCAATGCTTTAAGTCTCTCCCCTCTTTACCCTATACCCCATACACGCCAAAGGGTCCATTTCCTTCAGGACACAGCTCAAATCTGAGCTTATCATCCTCTGCTCAAAAAGCTCCAGGGGCTCCCTACTGCCTCCAGAATAAAAACCCCACTCTTCTGTTTGCTATCTGAAGTCCTTCATAGTCTGGTTGCTGCATTTCTAGATTTATTTTTCCCTTCAAGGGTACTACAGCATGGTCAAATTGACCAACTCACTCTTGCTTACACACCACATTCCCCTTCCCTACTCTGTGCCTGTGCTCAGCTGATCCCTAGGCCTCGAATGCACTCTCTCCTTAGCCTTGTAGAAACCCCATCTTCTTTCCAGGCTCATTTCAAGTGCCACTCCCCTTACATGAGGCCTTTCCTGATTTGCTCTCACTTCCAGCTGTGGAACCTTGTCTTCCAAATTTACTCTTGTATACATTTGGTATTTATCCAAATGGACACATTATTTCCCTGGATAAAATCTGAGCTCAAAGTTGGGGGTGAGGACTTTATTTTTGTAACCCCAGTGCCTACTTCATAGCAAGTGCTTAGTAATTAATAAATGCTGTTAAAATTGTAATGAGAGAACTATGGCATGGTGTGTTCTTGAAGTGATGCTGGATCTCTGCAATTACTGCATCCTTTCCTAGAGGTTCACAACCCATCAATTTAATTCTTTTGGAATTTTGTGAGGAACTGAAATCAAGCTCACCAACCTATGTAGACTTCACTCTCTTCCTGATTTTGAGAATCAGGATGTTTGTCCCCCTCCAGTTCTGAGGTACCTCTCCTATGATCCAGGATCTTCAAAGATCACCAGCAGGAGTTCAACAATCCCATCTGCACACTCTTACTATCCTGGGGCACAGTTCACCTGGGCCCCATGGCATGAATTGATCAAGGATGGCCAGTGTTCTCTTACTATCTTGTTCCTTATCTTGGGTATCCACTCCCTATTAGTCACATGTGGTCTGTCCTCTGTAGTACACAGATCATTCTTCTTGGAAAGGAAGGGGAAGTCAGAAGCAAATGAAGAGTTGGAAAGCTCTGCTCATCTGGTCATAGTCATTCACCCTATGCCATGGCCCTACACCTTTTCTGAGCCTCCTTTTCCACAATGTTGCTAAAAAATCCCAACAACACAACCCTCTCGTCCTTGGCTTTCTTTACTAGGTTTGGCTCACTTGAGCCTTAGTGCCTGTGACACTGCTCTTACAGTACTGGCTCACACATCTCTGGTCCTTGTTTCCATTTTCTGAGTTTTTTTTTTTTTTAATCTGAGTAGGACGGGGAGCTCCTTGTGCATCCACATAATTCTTTTTAGACAATTCTTCCTTTTCCTCTTCCTCAGAAATATTTTTTTTTGTTCTTTTTTTTTCTTTTTGTTTCTTTTGTTTTGTTTCTTTATATTTCTTCAGAATTTCATTCTTGAACACTCCCACCCTTTACGGGTTATCTTTCTCTGAAGAATTCTAATTCCTAGGCCTCCCAGCTTCTAGTGCCTTCCCTTCTCAGATCACCTTCCACTTAGTGTGAATATAATTTGTACCTCTCTGGACTGCTGTGAGAATAAAAATGAGATATTTGTAAAGCACCTACCACAATATCTGGCATATAATAGGTACTTGATTATGTACTTATTTTCATGTTCTCTCCTCTATTAAAACATATGATCCTTACACACAGGGACTGATTTTGCCTTTCTTTGCATTCACAGTGCTCTGCGTGATGCCTGTTATTTAATTGTTGGTTGGCTTAACTTGGCATGGGATCCTGCCAATTCTTTTTCTGCTCCCTAGAATGGCTGCTCTTCAAAAATCTATGGTGCATGTTAGATTCTGACCAGCTTTCTTCTCTTCTATCTCAAATTCGAAGTTGGAGTGGTCATTTTCTCCTAAAGTGCCTATGACTCACACTTCAGCAGCTACTTCCTCCATGTTGGTAAGAATCCAGAAATTATCTGTAAGTTAAGAAATCCTGAGCTACTCTGCTTTAGACAGAGAGCCCTCTAGCTGATCTACTGATAATTGAAGTCCATCCCCCATTCTATCATGCTTCCATATTGGACTTGTGACCTGTTTCTCAAATTCTTTTTAAAAATCTATTCTCTCCAGGTCATCCTAGTATACTGATAACAATATTGCTTCTGTTCCTGTTTCTGCTGAGACACAAATACTCCTCACCTCATGCTGCTTAAGTCAATTTTTTTTAATATACAAATGCTATTCTGCCCACCCCACCCCCAGCCTACGTACATTGGGTTTTAAATGGTTACACCCTTTGGATTTCAATTAACCATACGTACCTGTGTTGTTGCAGGGTAATTCTAGGCTTGAGGAAGTGTCAACAAAGGCATGGAGACAGGAAAATATAGGCTATATCTGGGGACACAGAATTAAGTCCAATCTGGCGGAAGCTTAGAGAGGAGTAATATGACATAAAGCCAAAAGGCCAGGGTGACAGTGTGGAGGGCTCCGAACGCCAGATGAATTTTACTCAGTATGCCATAGGGAACTTTTGAGCAGAGGAATGATGTGCTGTGGCATATGGAAAGATGACTGGAAGTAGGGAGAGTGGAGGTGGGGAGACATTTCAGGAGACCGTTACAATAGTCCCAGGAAGTGGAGATGAAGATCTGCATTAGAGTGGTTACGGTGAAAATGGAGAGAAGGCAGCAGAGATTGAAAGGATGTTCTGAAGGTTCCATCAGCATATTTGGTAACTGATTGGCACTGAGAGATGAGGAAATGACACAAGTCCAAAAACCCCAAGATTTCAAACGTGGGAGGCAATGAGCAATGATCTCTCCTCATCGTTCTCTACCTCCCAAGCAGTTTGCACACTTTGCATTCACTTACTGTATGATCCTTCTCTGTGCTCTCCTGTTACTAAACTGCAACCTCTCTGAGGGCAGTTTTGCCTCTTATCTTCGTATCTCTCAAGCTTACAGTGAAGTTCCTTGCATATAGTATATGTGTGAAAAATGTTTGTTCAATGAATGAATAAACAAACCCAAACTCTCATTTTCTTTAGTGCTTCAAGGCTGACCAAGCACTTTCCTCACCCGCCCTGTTAAAGAGGCAGTGCAGGTATGGCTCAGAGAGCTGAAATCATTTGGTTACTCACATGACTAAGAACTGTTGGAGCTGGGATTTGGACCCAGGTCTTTGGACTCCAACATCAGTGCTCTACTGTGGAACACAGAAGGGGGGCTGGACTTGGGTGGAAGGGTCACATATCCCCCTCAACCATCCACTCTCCCTCTCCCCCCTTCCCAGTCTGGAACATGACCCATGGACCTCACTCTTGCCTCACCTCTTTCCTCTACTTTCAGGGGTGAGAGGAGGTTTAATCCATTCAAATGTGGATCTCTGCCCGAGGGTTAACTGTCCTGACTGATGAATGAGTACAAACACACCTGTCCCCACCCCATGCTTCACATCCCAACCAGCTCATCTACTCTGGGCATCTTGCCATGTGTTTTGCAACTGTGTTCACTATCACCCCCCCTTTGCTCTGGGAATAGTAAACAAATCAATGCCATCATTGCTCTGCGAAGAGGTGTGACAATCAAGTGCCTTATGGCTCCATTCATTATTCCTGTGACTCTTCAAACCAAAACCCTCTTTCTTGACCACCATTCTCTTACAGGTGCTTTTGTGCTGTCTCCTCTTCCTTCTTGAGCGCAGGGACTATCTCACTTTTGTATTTGTATCTTTAGTACCTAGCATGGTGTCTGACACATAGAAGGTACTTGCAAATACTTTTTCAGAAATCTAAATGCATTTTAATTAATGCATCCAATAATAATATTCCTCCTTGGATCCCCACTCTACTATAACTGGATTAGGCTAAAGGAAAATTAGAGAAAGGAGAAGATAAGATGGGAAAGTGCGAGGGAAGGAAAGATGGAGGAAGGAGAGGAAAAAGAGGAACTGGACCACCACTGCTCCACCAAACCCCAAGGGAGTGCTGGCAATAGTGACTCAGTCAGGCTGGGTGTGTAACCTTGGCCTGGGACAGTCCAAAGTTCTTCTGAGAAGAAGGGGTAGTGTTGCTGTCATGCTTCCCCTCACCTGCACAGATGGGGCACTGGCCACTCTCCTGAGCACGGTCACTGTTCGTCTGTGGCCAGGGGGGCTGTCGTCTTGGCCTCACCTTCCTGCACTGCCGTGGACCTGGAGTGGCTGGAGGTCTGTTGGACAAAACAATGCAGAATCTGTCACTAGCCACAAAGGCATGACAGTGGCATAGTCACTATACCCACAACTCTATTCCTAGGACTCACCATCAATTCATGGCCAGAGCTTTTATGTAAACCTACCTTCTCCAGGCAGCTTTCCATGACTGACCCCACCCTGTCCTCTCAAGCTTTCCACTGAAAGGCCCTTCAGCTGGGCACACTTTGGTAATACTAGAATAACTGCCGTCAACAGATAACTTGCTACTCTGTAAAAATATACCTCAGGGGGTTTGTGAGGGCTTTTACTCACTGGGCAGAGCTATATATCCCTCTATCGACCAAAGGCTCCCAACAGGGAGAATAAGAATGGTCCCAAATTTCTGTGGACACTGCTCCTGTCCATTCAACTCAGCAGTAGCAGCAGGTGGTAGCCCACTGAGACCCTGGGATCTGTCTGCCACAAAGCAAACGGTCATCAGAAGGACGTTAGGGAGAAGGTCATGGAAGCAAGAAAATTCCTTCCAAAGAGGACACACGGGGGGCCGAGAAGGTCAACTCTGAGACATTTGAGGGGAGGTGGTGTGGGGCTTCTCAGTTACCTTCTCCTTGGGTTTTGTAGCTTCTGTCTCTTTGTCCGGCTTGACTCATTCTCTGAGTTCTGTTTCCGTGACCCTGGCTCCTCAGCCACATCTGTCAATCCAAGATCATAGTTGTCATCGTTATCATCACTAATGACAACATCCCACATATGTACAGCACTTCAAGTTCAGAATCATAGGCTCTTAGAGCTGGATGCTGGTATATCAGAGTCACCTTTAAATGATCACAGGTCTTCAAGGTAGATTTAGCACAATCAATGAAATCATAGACCTGGTCCAAAAATACAGTACAACCTTACCTAAGTAGGAATGCCATCTGTACAACAATTCTTATAAATGCCATCCCAATTCTACCTAAGTATTACCAAGGGATTGGAAACTTCCTTTCTCTTGAGGCACTCCATTCCATTTTTTTGACCGTTCTTGTCAAACTGCTTTAGGAAGGCAGTGTGGTAAAATGAAAAGAACACTTAACTAGAAGGAACACCTGGGTTCCAACTGCAGATATGCCACTTATTAGTTGCATGGTCTTGAGTAAATTTATTCAGCTTCTGTGAACCTTAGTTTTGTCATCTGTAAAGTGGGGATAATAAGACCTGCCCCACCTTACCCAACAAGGTCATTACAAGGATCAAATGGCATAATGGATGTGATCTTACTCTCACAACCAAATCTTTTATTAATTCCTTTTTACCGATGAAGGAAGTGAAGCCTCTAATCAAAATACAGGGGATTGTTTAGTGAGTGAGCACAGAGTTACAGCAAAAGAAACTGGACATCCTTTAAGGAGAATTTCAACGAACTTGTGGTAGCCTCCTGAACTTCCCTTCTCTGCCCTGTATAACAAGGACTGGTCACCCAGCAAAGAGCCCACAATGACACGATGACAAATTCTTTAGTCCTCAATTCTGCCTTTTCAATACTCCCCTTATTTTTAAACAAAAGGATCCATCAGTCAAAATACCATTACCTGAGGTCAGAGTTAACATGATGAGGGGATATCCTGAGATAACTCCCCCAAGGGAGTTGAGAAAACAATAAAATGGATAGAAAGCCTAGGGTTTCCTCATCTTGAGACAGTACAGGATAGGGAAGAGTGCTGGCTTTGGAGTCAGGAAGACCTGGGCTAGAATCCTGCTTCTGACACCATAAGCAAATCATCGAACCTCCCTGAGCCCAGGTTTCCTCCTCTGTAAAACTAGGCTAGTGATATCGGGAGTGCCCAATGCATTGGGTTGTTGTGAGTGGCAGATAAGACCATGTACGGCAAGTGCTGTAAAAACCAACTATAAACGGCTATTAAAAAGTCAGTTGTTGCTGCATGAAGCCTCCGGGCACCCAAAGGCTCACCATTAGTACTTGTTTTCCTAGACGAGACTGAATGGGAGGCAAGACGTCACAAATACCCACAGTGAGACCACACAGTGAATTCAAAGTACACAGTGAAACCATAAAGGACATGAGGAATGAATGTGATACCATCCCTTCCCTTATTTTTCTCCCCAAATCCCTTTTCATCTGAAAAAAAAAGTGATGCACAAATTATTTCCCTTCATCATTTCTTCTTGAGGAACAAGAATTCTCCCCCTTTTATTCTTCCTTCAATGTAAACAAACTATCCATTTCTGTGCTTTTACTTTTTCCACCTGATACTTTGTTTGCGGACAGCCCTAAGTATTGGGTATGATGTATAAGGACTACAAATGCCAAAGAGAGTGGGGGGTTGGGAACCAATGGTAAAATATACATAAGCTAGCCTAACCTGAGCTAGCTGTGTGGTTAGGGGATGGTTCCCCCTGGTGGCACCCAAGGCTCTTTGAGGTAGATGGAAGGGCCCGGCAGGCAGCAGAAAGCACCATGCGGGCTGAGCGTCCTAAAGCCCCAGGCTGTAGCTGCTGGAGGCGGCTTCTGAGCTCAGTCACCTGCCCGAGGCTCCTACAGGGACAGAGAAAGAGTTAGCAATGTGCTCAGTTACAAGTACAAGACCAAGGACCCCTTCTATGGTTACTAGAACTACATATTCTTTCCTTGACTGGGCAAGACATCAGAGCAAACAATGTGATCCTGCTTTTAGAGGCTTCCAATCTGACCAAGTCCTGGGTCTTGACTTTGGAGAGCACTTAGCCTAATACAGACACCCAGATCCCACTCCCAGGGATTTTCTATCTGGCCACAGATTCTGGCCTGAAATGCCACCAATATCACACATACAAAAAATGATCAGGAATCAGCTACTCTGACACTTCGTACTTGTGGAATTTTGTAATATAACAAGCTCCCTGGGCCTCTGTTTTCTCATTTGTAAAATGAGCTTGGACTACATGCCTCTGAGGTTCCTTCTGCTTCTATGTCTAAGATATCTGGTGTCTGTTAGGCGGGTGACTTTGAAGGTTGAGTCCATTTCAGATTGGGGGGCCCCTGGAGGCCCAGTTTATGTGTATGTCAAATTGAGGGGCTATGAGGGTATGGGACTAGGTATTTTCACCAGATGAAATAGTGCTTTCAGAAGAACTGGATCTGTTGATCTTCAAAGATATTATGAGGGTGAGAAGGGTAAGGAGGCAGCAAAGAAAGCTGTCCCACGGTACTAAACCAGAAGAATGGTCCTCTCTTCCCTTATCACTGTTAGGAAAAATGACTAGGTCAAACTTGGGAGGTCAGGCAAGGGGAAAAAGAATGGGAGCAGGTTTAGGCCCCAATACTCCTATTTTGGAAGCTGAGACCTCTTTTGCTCTGATAACACACAGTGTGAGAGACTAGCAGGACGAGCAAACTCCACTGGAGATACCATAGTGAAGGGGCCTCCTCTGCTTCCCTCAGTGCATTCTCCCTTGCCCCTGGAGTTACATACGGCTGTGGATCTGGGAAGAATGTTCTCCGGATGGCAGGGCTGGCAAGCCAAGGGCTGGCTTGAGGCGCTTCTACAGGGGATTCCACCTTTGATAAGGGAGACTAAAACACATGAAATACAAATGTTCACCACCAGGGAGCACCACTGGCAAACATCAGCTCACTAGTGCTCTCCCCACTATGCAGGTGTATATCTTTTCATCAATATCTATGACCCAGTTTACAGGTGTCTATGTTTATAGTGGACTTATAATTGATATATTATTTTTATGCGCATGGACTAGAACCTTTTCTCCTATCCATTTCTGCCTACTGAAATCTTTTTCTTCTTTTGACACCCAGCTCAGGGGTAGTCACCTTGACTTGAAAATTATTTCTTAGGGGCAACTAGGTGGTGCAGTGGATAGAGCACTGGCCCTGAAGTCAGGAGGACCTGAGTTCAAATGCGGCCTCAGACCAAACACTTAACACTTACTAGCTGTGTGACCCTGGGCAAGTCACTTAACCCCAATTGCCTAAAAACAAACAAAAAAAAATTATTTCTTGCCCTCTTGAATGTTTCCTACCTATCCCTTTAAACGTTTGATGCTCTTTTTCTTTTTTTATATTTTGTCATTTCCAAATTATCTCATTTCCCTCTCTGTTAAATCTTCTCTTATAACAAATACATAGAGTCAAGCAAAACAAAATGGCACAGAGGTCATGTGTGAAAATGTGAATTCCACCCAAGGAGGCAGGCTTGTTCAGAGCATTCTGCATCCACGTGACTCTGCTAAAGTCATGTGCTTCAACGTTATTTTCTTTTACACCGTGGTTGGGTAAATTATCATCCTGTTTCACTTCACAAAAGTCTTTCCAAGTTTTTCTGAGTAATGATAATATATTACATTCATCCTCTATAATTTGCTTAGTTATTCCCCAATTAGTGCCACAGAACAAAGAATGCTGGACCTGGAGTCAGGAAGACTCATCTCCATGAGTTCAAATCGGGCCTCAGATACTTACTAGCTGTGTGATCCTGGACAAATCACTTAACCTTGCTTGCCTCAGTTTCCTCTTCTTTAAAATGAGCTGGAGAAGGAAATGGCAAACCACTCCAGTATCTCTGACAAGAAAACCCCAAAATGGGGTCATGAAGAGTCAGACACGGCTGTAAAAAGACTGAACATACAATCACTGGATATCCATTTTCTGTCCAGTTCTTTGCTCTTACAAAAAGTGATGAAATAATTCCAAATTATTTTGAGTAGCTGGACCAAATCATAGCTCCAAACACAGTGCATTAGTGAGGGCCCTCCAACACTTGTTATCTTGGCTAATCTGATGAGTTTGAGGTGAAACTTCAGAGTTATTTTAACCTGCAGTTCTCTTACTTGATCCGAGATATCTGCTGCAAATTTTTTTTTCTCAATTACCACTTCTCTAACTCTAGTTTCACTGATTTTGTTCATGTAAAAAAGTTTTTCAATTTCATGAGGCTGTTGATAATTTTATCATTTATGATGACCTCTACCCTTTGTTTAGTTAAGAATTATTCCCCAGCCATAGTTTTACTTCCTTCTCCTCCAATTTCTTAATGATGTGACCTTTTATATTTAGGTCACACATCCATTTGGGACTTCTTGTGGTCTGTGGCTGGCCGAAATCTAATTTCTGCCAAATGACTTTTCAGTTTCCACTGAAATGCCATAATCCTATTTTCTGCCTATGTGCCTATGTGCGTTTGTGCTTAGGGAGCACTTACAGTTAACTGATGTAGAGGAAGCCCTATGTTAAGAACCTGTGGGGGACGTAAAGATGAACATGACATAGTTCCTTAGTTTAATCACAATGATAAGATGCAGATAAGAAAAATTGAGTGTAACTGTATACATGTATGTGTATCATGACATAGAAGAAATAGTGCTGAACTTAGAATCAAGAGATCTGGGTTCAAATTCCACCTTAGACAATTACCAGATGTGTGAACATGGCAAAGTATTTAACCTATGATAGCCTTGATTTCCTCATCTGGAAAATGGGTATAGTGTCACCTACTTCCTTACAGGATGAATACTCGAATTATGTAGCTCCTTCTGTGCAAGCTTCAATACATTATATAAATATGACAAACTTGGTAAAAGTTTGATGACTGATTCTAATCACGTATAAATTTGTACACATGAACACACAAATTTAGGCATGTATGGCTCTGACTCTCCTCATCCTATGACTTCTAATTGGGTCCCAATAGTGGTACAGGAAGTGGAGGAAGCACATAGGTTGTTCCCTAAGTACTCGTTTAATTTCTGACACACCTGATTGTGGTCAGGCACTCGAGAGTTCTCAGGGTCTTCTCTGGGCTCCAACAGAGAACGCACACGAAGGAACAAGAGACCAAAGGGCTGCCGCCGGTTGAAGGGCTGGCTGCAAGTCACTCGAAGCCTATCCCAGCTCTCACTTGCTGCTGGGGCCAGAAAATCCCCTGAAGAATTAGAAGAAGGAATGAATGTGGTTATAAAGGAACCAAAAAAGGTGAGAAGACGAGAAGGTAAGGGAGGAAGCAAACAGGAGGAAGAAGAGGAAGACAAGAGAAGGAAAGGGAAGAAGGACAAAATAAGGAAGGAGGAGGAGGGTGGGAGGGAGAAAAGGAAAGAAGGTGGTAGGAAAAGAAATAGAGATATGGGAGAATAAGGAGATCACAGAAGGGAGGAGGAAGAGAACAAGACAAAGAAAGAGGAAGGAAATGGAAATGCAGGAAGGAGAAGGAAGAAGATACGTGGATAGAAGGAAGAGAGAATAGAAAGGAAAGAGGAGGAAGGAGAGAAGAGCTTGCCTTCTCTTTAGAATCAGGGCTGACCAGGTACAGCTGACCCTTGCAGCCATAAGAAAGGCCAGGTCTGGCCTAGCCTCCCGTACCAGCTTCATTTCCCACCATCCCCCAGATGCACCCCCTCCTTGGCCCCCCCCAGCAGCAGCCACCTTCTCAGTATCCCTGCATCACTTCCATCTGCTATGGCTAATGTTCAACCCTGGGACTAACAGGAGCAGAAGGCCTGGTTTCCAGCAGACACTGGAAACTCTTTACCATCGACCTCCTGAACTACCTCCTAAATGACATGAGTGAGACGGTCTTCTCCAGTTTGGGTTTACATGGAATATTATCACCCAAACTGATCCAGCAACAAGCATTTATGAAGTGGCTACTACATGCCAGGTGCTAGGACAAAAATGACACAATCCCTGAGCCCAAGAAGCTGACATCATGTCTATTCTATCAGTCCTCTCTTGCCACACACATCGCATATCATCTTTATGCATTCACATGCAGACTTTATACATACCCCTTCCAAAAAGAGGTCCATCACTGCCACCTGACATACCCGGACACACTCAATATTATACCTTGCACACTCAGATCAGACATTACACATATCTATCACCCCTCACCATCATCCTGATACATAGACCCAACACATCCATGACCTCCTACATACCCAGTATCACGCCCCTTAAACACAACAGACCAAACATCTCACATACCCAATACTACCCTCTATATCCCTAATATCAAACCTTTTATGCATAGACCTAATATCACTGTCTATACATTCACATACCCAAGATCACATCCCTTATACAAAGCAGACCCATTCTCTCACACATCCCATATGCATGAAATATATTTTCACTTTGCATATATACTCTACATCCAATATCGTACACCATATACCTCCTCAAAATATACACATAAAAAATATATACACATACATATATACATATACATACCCAATACGCCTCCCCATAGAGCATACAGTCCTTCATGCTAAATCACATCACACTTTGCATATACCCACATTCTCTCTCTCTTCCCCTCTCCTCTTTACCATCTTTAAACATGCGGACCCCTGAATGGTTCTTTCCCAGTTTGGAGTCAGCTGGTGACATCAGTGTGGCCATGGGAAGCAGGGTCAGAAAAGGTCTGCCTGGGGGCCAGGAGGAACGTCCCACATCCACCTGCAAGAAGGCACAGCCACAGTTCCCTAGGGACAAACAGGGCAGGGGAGCGATGAGCACTTTCTTTTACCTGCAGACAATTGGCTGGGGGGTGGAATACGAGCCAATTAGTTTTTGCTAAGAGTACTCTCTTCCTTCCAGAACTCGATTTAGACAGGGCTGAATCTTGGCTCTGTCTAATGACATTTGGGTGCTTCAACACCATCCAAGCCATCCCCCTCTGCCCATAATGAAGTCTCTGCTAATCCTTGATAAGCCCCTTCATTTCATATTATTCCTAGTACATAGCCTTCTCAATTTACACAGCTCCATCTCCTCCAAGAAACCTCTGCCCACCCCAATCCCTTCAGCAACTCATGGCTATAATTTGGCATAGATGACAACTACTTCTTAGTGCCTGTGGCCTATCTCTTGGATCAGATTGGGGAAAGGGGAATTCCTGAGGGCAGAGATCAGGTGTGTGTTCTCCCCTCTCAGACTAGCTTCCTCAAGGCAGATTCTCTCCCTTCAAACCAGAAGGTCCCTGAGGGATCCATGAGGACGGGGACTCAGGCTCCCACATTAGACTTAGGTCTCTTCATCCTTGTTTCTCCTTGAGTGTGAAATGACTCTACCCATGGCAGCTGTTCAGTGTTTACAACCAAAATGACCCTAGAGGTCTCTGAGACCCTTTCAGGGTGTCTGCAAGGTCAAAACTGTTTTCATAATAATACTGTTATGTTTTAATTTCTGATGTGGTTAATATTGATAGATATAACCCCTACACGTGAAAGCTCTTCAAGGGATCTCAGTAATTTTTAAGTGTAAAGGGGTCCTGAGACCAAGAAGTTTGAGAACTGCTAAACCCCCCTTGGGGGGTCTGGAGTGGATCTTACTGCTCTCGCCATCCTTCCCCACCCCGTACCACAAGGGTCCTGGCTACATTTCCTTACCCACATCAATGTAACTGATAGGCACAGCCCGTTCCAGCTGCAGCTCCACCTTGAGCTGCCCACTGTGGTCCTGAGGGGAGCAAAGCCAGGGCCTCACTGGTTCATTTGGGTCCAGCAGGTTTTCCACAGGGTACCTGGAGTCCTGGGCCAGAGGCCACAAAAAGAGTGGAGGTCATCAAAGGGAGGCCTCATTGAGCCAAAGGGAAGGGGGTTCCTTAGAGTGGGGGGGACACCTTTGAGAATAAGCTCCAACTTCTTGTGCCAAGGAAAGCTAAGGAGGTTGGTTTTCCTTTATTTTACCCAAGAAGATCATCTGAGAAGGAGCAGCAGAGTAGGTGACAATGGAAGAAAGGCTAACACAATGCCATTAGAACAGGAGCTCCCACATGGGCTCAGCTCAGTCGTTCCCTGGAAGGAGCCCCACAGCCGTGGCTCAGGGCCACTGCTGCCACTATCTGACTCTGGCCTCAGAGGGCAAGGATGCTCCCCAACATTCTGGTCTGACCTATGATTTCATCAGTGCAGGGAGGTCCCTGGGGGAACATTCTCTACTCCCGTTTTGTAACTTATAGTCTTAAAGTTACTAGAGGTATTGAGAGTTTAAGTGACTCACTCAGGATCACACAACCAGTATGCGTCAAGAGGGACTTGAACCCAGGTTTCCTGACCCTGAGGAGGGCTCTCTATCCGCTTGGTTTAACCCTATTAATCTAAGAAAAAAGATCTGCCTTATGATTAATAATTCTCATTTATATAATACGTTAAGGTTTAGAAAGTGCTTTCCTCATAATAATCCTGTGAGGTAGCTAGTCCAAGCATTATTATTCCCATTTTATAGATGAGGAGACTGAGCCTCAGAGAGGTTAAGTGACTTTCTCCAGGCTATGTGTATTAGGAGGTGATTTTACCCAGCTCTCCTGACTCCAAGTCCAGCACTCCTATATGGCCTATCACAAATGCCTGGGTGGGAAGTGTCACAAAGGGCAACCAAATGGCTGTTCAGGCATCTCCTTGTTAAGCATGTGGATCCATATGGATGGGAACCATATCTCCCCTAGTAAACTGGAGGCTTTCCAAGAGGAGAGCCGTGTCTTTCTATCGGATCAAGGGCTATGTCCCTGCCATCAGACCTAGGGCTCCCCAAGAACAGGACCACACCTCCCCTTCTGACTCAGAGGTGCCCAACGGCTGCATCTTTTAGCCCAAGGAGGATCCTATTTGCCTGAATTTCCCCTGTTACCTGAGAGGAAAACGATACCACATGGCTGATCTTCACAGGAGCCATGAGGCGGCACAGAAGGAAGGCAGCCACAAGCCCTTTCTCTCAAGATGCACACAAACCCTGTCACCACATTGGCCCTCTTGGCTTCTTCTTGGTCCCTTCAGTACATGATGATTCTGAGGAGAAAGAAATGTGGAGGGAGTGTGGGGCAGGGTGAAGCAAGAGAAGAAAATGTGTCCAAAGGAACAGTCTATCAGGAAAGAAGCATTTGTGAAATGGTCGATTTCTATACAGTCAGCCCTCGACTAGGTGCAGTGAAAGGACATCCGAAAGGAAGGCCTGTTCTGGTCTTTGAGAAACACTTAGTCTCTTCTAGCAAAGAAGCACACCCAAGAAACAAATGGAGAATAAATGCAAAATAACATTTAACTATCCCCTCTGCCTGCAGTGTCTTTTCCTCCAATTTACCTTCTAACAGACAACCAGCTGCACAACTTGAGCAAGTCATCCATGCTCTTTGAACCTGTATTTCCTTAACTATAAAACAGGGCTAATGAAGATTCTCCTGCCTCTCCCCCAGGACTATCTTGAGAAAAGTACTTTGTGAATCATCAGTAATCGTATAAACGTGAGTTATTCATAGGCAATCATAGACAAGTCATTGAACCCTCTCTGAGCCTTGGTTTCCTCACAGGGTCAATGTAAGAAAAATAACTTGGTAAAACTTGAAGTCCCATCAAATTGAGAGTTACGATTCTGTGCATGCTGCCAGATTACTCTTTCTAATGCACATTATTCTCCTGCTCAAAAATAACTGATGGTTCCCCACTGCTTACAGGATAAAATCCAGACTCCTCCACCTCCCATTCCAGAGTTTCTGGGGGCTGCCCCTAGCCTTCTTTTCCAATCACACTTCCCACTGGTCCCCTTCTTACACCCTATACTTACACACTCCAGCCAGGCCATCTTTCCACTGACCCTGGAACATACTGTGCTTTCCCACATTTATGCCTTTGCCCTCTTTGGCCTGGGATGCCCTATCTTAGCTTCTACTGACTGAATTCAAAGCCATAGTTTAAACCCTATTTCAAATTTTCCCTTTCACAAAGCCTTCAATTATGCCACTTAAAGATCTCTCTCCTCTGAACTTAACACTTATAGTCTATACCATTTCTATACCATTCATCATATACTGAGAAGCAGTGGGGTATAATGGAAAGAGATGGGAGTTGTGGGTTCAAATCCTTGCCATTTATTAGTCTTGCCATTTATTTGCTCTTTGGTAATTTTCCTTCTCTAAGGTTTAGTTTTCTTATCTGTAAAATAACACTTTATACTACCTTTCTCATAAGGTTATTGTGCAAAAACTTGTATAAACTTCAAAGCACAAGAGAGATGGGAGCTATACACTGTCTTGTACAATAGTTGCTTGTAAGCCCCTGGGGGACAGAGACCTGTCTTCTTCTATCTATCCCCTACAGCAACCAGAACATGCCCATGCAGGACAAATTCAATCAAAAACATGGCTAACATATGAACTGCATAGAGATTTGTCTGTGGTCTGAGTGTGTATGGAGTAGAAGGGGTTTATAGGAGGTATAGTGGGTTTGGCTACTTTGGGTTGGTCAGTGGAGTGTTAAACAACACAGGGTTGTGTTGGGTAGAGAGCATAGGTAGAGATTAGTGAGACAGGAATTGTGCAGTGTAGAGAGAAGTATGTTAGGCAAGTCAAGGAATGCATATAGAGGATGTTGGGAAAAAGCATGTCAATGGGTGTAGCTACATGAGGGATGGTGTGCCTGTATTTAGACTCTGTCAGGGAACAGTATATGGTGGTATTAGGAGGTGAGGTAAGGGATGAGGTAGAGCATTAGGGTTGGTCATATAAGTACAGTGTAAGCAAGAAAAATTCAGTGTAAGGAGATATAACAAATGGAGTGGGTAGGGATGATGAGGGTATGTACATGTGGATAGGAAATCCAGTGGCTAAAGGGAATACTGGGAATGAGGCCAAGGGCATGTAGGTCTAGTCAGTATTTTTGAGAATGTGTGCAGTGGGGAGCATCTGGGGGCTAAAGAGGGTAACACAAGGGTTTAAAGAGTAGATTAGGGGGCAGCTAGGTGGAGCAGTGGATAGAGCACCAGCCCTGGATTCAGAAGGACCTGAGTTCAAATCTGGCCTTAGACACATAACACTTACTAGCTGTGTGACCCTGGGCAAGTTACTTAACCCCCATTGCCCAACCAAGAAAAAACAAAACAAAACAAGAGTGGATTGGTGGCGCATCTATAAGGATATATGCAGTGAGGTTATGGGGGAAAGAGAAGGGCTGCATGTATGTAATGGAAGTCAAGTGTTTTTGTGTGTAATGTACCATATGGATAATATAGGGAAAGTGGTGTGTGGAGAAAAGCAGGGGATAGGACCAAGATGCATAATGGGGAATGGGTAGTGTTGTGTGGATATAAGGAATTGTGAATGTTAGGTGGGTTACTGTGTGCATGTATATGTGAAGGAATATGCAGTTTGAGGAATCTGAGGTACACTCACAATATAGGAGACGTGGAAGGGGTGTACATAGAGTAGATTCTTGGGTATGTATGTGTCTAGAGAGATCCAGTTTGTATGCAGGGGATGTGCCCAGTGTGTAGGGACCTAGGGAATGGGACAGGGTATATAAAGTCCATTTAAAGATTTGTAAGAATATTCAGTGAGGGATAATGGATGGATCAGGGCAGGTATGGCTGGTCATATATAAGGGAGCATACAATGCAGTGGATGTAAGGAGTGGTTGTAGGGCAGGTCAGTGGGGAAGGAGGTACTGATTTGTCACATAGAGCAAGGAGAAGGAGTATAGGAAATGGGCCAGGGTATAAAGGGCTGGCTGGAGGGGAGAGATGGAGAGATTCACAGGGTAGGTTTGAGTGTGAGGGATGGGAGCAAACTGGCCCCACAAATCATTCTCTACTTATAATCTTCAATCTCTTCTAATGGGTTGGTTCCATCCCTACAAAACGGCCCAGATCTTCCTAGCCATAAAAAAAAAACCCTCACTTGACCCTACCATCCCCTGGCTATCATCCTTTATCTTTCTTCCCTTTCCCAGAAGGGAATAGTGTAGTCCTGGACAATCACTTCCTCATCTCCCACTCCCTTAACCCTAGGCAAAGAGGCTTCTGACCTCAACACTACAACAGTCCTGCACAACCCACCATTGATTATGGCTGCAGACCGTGGCAAGCCGAAGGATTTCCTCTACATATAAAGGATGTTCTTTATATTTTTCATGGGCCTTGGAAATCCTTTGGTGACTTGCAGGCTGCAGGTTGTGCAGGCCAGTTCTACAGTAACTATGTGCTCCAAAGTTCCAAATGACCTCTAAATTTCCCCCTTACACTGTTGGCCATTCTGCTCCTGGATACTCTCTTTGAGTTTTTGTGACTAGGTTCCTCCTCTGTACCCTTCCTTTCTGTCTGATGGCTCCTTCTCAGTCTCTTTTGTGGAATCACTCCCCACCTCTTACCCCAACTCTTCCCCTCCCCCCAACCCTGTGTGTGTGTTCTCTAAAGTTCAGGTCTTGAGCACTCTTCTCTTTTCTTTCTCTCTCTGAGACTTCGTTAGCTCCCTCAAGTTCAAATACTAGAATCTCCAGGAAGGTGACTCCTAAAATCTACATTCTTCACATCCTCATCTCCATCCCTTTTTCTCTACTCATACTTCAATTTAATTCAATAAACATTGTCTATTCACTGTGCTAAGTATCGGGATATAAGGAAGAAGTCCTTGCCCTCAAGGAGCTTACAATCTAAAGAAGGGAAACATAAGGAAGCAGACAATGGTGGAGGTGAGGGTCTTACTTCTTTCTATCCCTTTCCTTCCTGATACTTGGTCTCTACTCTGAGCTTTCCCCCTCCTGGAATGCTCTCCCTCCTCAATCTCCGACTCCCCTCTACCCTTGCTTCCTTCAAAGCCAATTAAAATTCCATCTTCTACAGAAGCCCTTCAGTGCTAGGATCTTCCCGCTGCCAATTATTTCCTAGTTACCCTGTCTGTACATAGTTATTTGCTTGCTGTCTCCCCCATTAGACTGTGAACTGGATGGTTTTCCTGCCTTTCTTTGCATCCTCCTCGTCTGGAACGCTTTGTTGTTATTGTGTCGTTTCAATTTGTCCGGCTCTCCGTAACCCCATTTACGGTTTTCTTGGCAAAGATACTGGACTGGTTTGCCATTTCCTTCTCCAGCTTATTTTACAGATGAGGAAACTGAGACAAACAGGGGAAGTGACTTGCCCAGGTTCACAATTAGTAGGTGTCTGCGGCCAGATTTGAACTTAGGTGCTCCAGATTCCAAGCCCAGGGCTCTATCCACTTGGCCAGCCGGCTGTCCCTGCCTGGAACACAGTGGGCGCTTAATAAGTGCTTGCAGATTTGTCTCGCTGAGAGCCTCCTCCCCTCGCGCCAGGATTGCTGCAGCAGCCTGCTTGCTGGTCTCCCTGCCCCAGCTCTCTCCCCACTCCGCTCCGTTCTCCACTCGGCTGCCTAAAGTTCATGTCCGCAAGCTCCTACACAAGCTGCCACCAACCTACCTTTCCAGCCTCACTTCTCATTCCTCCCCTTCTCGCCTCTCCAGTCACATCACCTAGGTTCCCGCCACAACAGCACTCTGACCTCCAACCTCCAACCCCTGGCCCCGCCCTCGCGCGGGCTCCCTTTACTCGCTAAGGGAGGGAAGGCGCCACTTTCTATTTCTGTACAGCCTCTCCTAGGCAACTTTCCACACCCCAATCTTTCGGTGCACGCTGGGACTCGTAGTCCTCAGCGCCGGAGCTGCGAGGGGGGAGGGGGGAGGAGCGTTGAGTGTGAGCTAAGGGAGCATCACCCAAGTGCGTCCTTTCTTCAGAACCATACCCGGCCCTAGAGGAGTCAGGGAGAGTTTCAGAGAAAGAGATGCCCAACTTTCCTCAACAAGACCTACGCTTACATTGTTCATAGGATTTGGGAACGTTTCCAAAGCTTGGCGGTTCCCTCGGGTAGATACGGAGGCAGTCCGAAGGGAGGAGCAGGACGACGCTCCCTCAAACACTGACAGCTCCTTTAGGTTACTTCGAGGCCCCGCCCCTCCCGGACCAAGCTGCCGCCGATGACTGGCTAGGAGATACCGAACGGCGGAAGCAGCTGGCGCTGGGCTGAGGAGGCGGACGCAGGCGCAGAGCGAGAGTGGGGAAGATGGCGGCGGTGGTGGAGGTGGAGGTTGGAGGTGCCGCCGGCGAACGGGACCTGGAGGAGGTGAGAGGCCTGGGGGGACCCCTAGAGAGCCTGAGGAGCGGTCCCTGGGGGAAGGTCCCCGGGCGAAGAGTGACAGGCATGGGGGAGGGACAAGGGCCTGAGGGGTCACGGGGGGGCGGACCCTCGAAGGCTCCCAGGGACCAGCGATGGAGCTCCGAAGGCGTAGGGCCTGAGAGAGCCCCTGCAGGACGGGAGCGGGTGCTGAGGAGGGGCGACTGAGGGGGGCGAGTGCATCCTGAGAAGAGAAGTGAGGGGAGGGCGTGCCAAGGAGGGTCACTGAGGGGAAAGCTTGGGGAGGCAGCGGAACAGGGGGGAAGTGACATTGGTAGTTTTGGAATAGAGAGGACCTGAGTTCGAATTCTGAATTTGCAACCAAGTACCTATGTGACCTTGGGTAGTGAGTCAGTTAATAAGCACTTATTATGCTCCTGCTGCTTGCCAGGCGCTGTGATAGATGCTGGGTGTGCAAATACAAAAATGAGGCCGGTTCTGGCTTCAAGGAATTTTCATTTTCCTGAGCACTTCAGTGTTTTGGGCACCTCTTTCCTTCTGTATAAAATGAGGGGGTTGAACCAGAGCTGTCAGGCTCCTTCAGTCTCTAAATCTATGATCCTATAGTCGGACAGGGAAGATGGTGCAGAAGTCACTAAGATAGAGGAGGAAATGCTTTGAAGGGTCAAGAAGGAAGCGGGATGGGTCGAGGGAGAGAAAAGGGTGCCTTTCTAGCAAAGAGAAAGTCACCTACCTGTTAACATCTATAGAAATATGTTATAGAATGGTGGAGATTTGGTGATTGCTAGGCATCTAGTTAATAAGGGCCCTGCCTGGGACCATAAAAAGGGAAAAGGAGCCTCTGAGCCAGTGGGAACCAAGGGTGTCACAAGTAGGGGCTAGAGGACAGATAAGAGACTGAGCCTGAGAAATTGATAAGAATTGAGAAACTTAAGCTTTTTGTCCTAGCAGGCCCTGGTTCTGGGCTGGGAATCAGAAGAACCAGCTGACTGTAGTTCCTTGCCTGCTAACTTGCCCTATGAGCTTGGGCAAGCCCCTTCCCCACTCTTGGCCTAAGTTTTCCTATCTAATGATTATCTGTCACTGGAGCAGTCCAACAGAGACTGATTGGCTATCTGTAAAGAATATTTCAACTTGGACTAGATGCCTTCAGAGGTCCCTTCCAGCCCTAGGATTCTAAGATACTAAGGATATAATGTGTATGAAAGCACTTTGAAAATTAATCAATTGATGACCATTGAATTATAAGCACCCCTTTAGAGGGACTGTTTTTGCCTTTCTTGGTATTCTTTGGCCAGTTACTGGCACATAGTAGACACTTTATAAATGCTGGTTGACTTGCCAGGTTCTATGCTAAGCATTGGGGATACAAAGACAAAAGTGAAACAGGCCTTGTCCTCAAGAAGGTTATAATCTAACAGGGGAGACAGCATGTACATATGTGAGTATATACACATGATATATTCAAGACAAATAGGTAATTTTGAGAGGAAGTACACTAACAGCTCGGAGACCTGGAAGATTTCATGTAGAAGTTGGTGGTTGAGCTGGATCTTGAAGAAACCCAGGAATTCTAAGAGGCAGAAGAGAGGAGGGAGTGAATTCCAAGCATGGAGGAAAAATGCAAAGTTGTAAAGATAAGGAGCTGGATTGAGAATTTTCCTGTGTACTAAACCGTAAGTAGACCAGTATGTTTGGATCATAAAGTGCATGGAGAGTAGTAATGTGTAGGGAACTTAGAAAGGTTGGAAGGAGCCAGGTTATGAAAAGATTTAAGTCCCATTATATTTATAATGAATTATAATTTGTTCTAGAGTTAACAAGAAGCCACTGGAGTTTGAATTGGACTGGGGACAGGTAACATGATCAGACCTTCTGATTAGGAAAATTGCTTGGATAGCTGTATGGAGGATGGTTTGGAATGAGGAAAGGCTTGAAGTAGAGAGACCAATTAGGAGTCTGTTCCGTTTGTCCAGGTGAGAAAGTGATAAGGGCTTGAAATAGTGTGGTGCTTGTGTGAGCATAGAAGAGAGGAGAGGGGGAATATTCAAAAGATATAAACAAGATTTAGCAACTGACTGAGGATGTGTAGGGTGAGTGAGAGTGATAAGTCAAGAATGATATCAAAGCTGCAAACCTGGGTGTTTGAAAGGATGCTGTTGCCCTATAATGATTATAGAATAGTTCAGAAAAGGAGTGAGTTTGAGGGGAAAGAGGAGTTTGATTTGAACATCCAGATCTAAACGTGAGCTAGGCAGCTGGCAATGGAAAATTGGGGCTCAGGAGAGAGACTCTGAAAATGAGAATATGTAGAAAAAAGAGAAGGTCTAAGACAGCTTTTGTTGTACACTTCACATTTGGTGTAACAAGGATGAAGATCCAACAAAGGAGACTGATGAGGAAAACCATGAGAGAACAGTGTCACAAAAACAGAAGAAAATGTGTTCAACAGTGTGTAATGCTGTAGAGAGGTAAAGAAAGCTGAGGCTTGAGAAGAGACCATTAGATTTAGTAATTAAGAGATAATTGGTAACTTTGGAGAGAGCAGTTTCAGCTGAGCAGTGAAGTTGGAAGTCAAATTTCAAGGGGTTGAGAAGAGGAAGAGAAAAGTATGAAGTATTATATACATGTAAAGTGAGATGGGTGTATAATTTAAGTATCATGGCCTACTGACCTTATGGGTAGTCAGAGATATAGCTAAATATAAAGGAAATACAGGCCATATGGGGTTTGTGCTACATTTCTTCTCTTCTAATTTCTGAGACATCCTTGTTTCTGAATGGTGTCGTTGCATTATAACTTGTGGGAAACCTAGGACCTGGCTTCTCATAAAACTTATCTGTTTAGTCCCTTGAGAGGGGACCCAAGTCACTGGTTTTATATGTTTAGGAAAATTATCAAGGTATAATGTATAAAAATACAATATGAAAATGTGCTTAAAGCACTTTGAAAACCTTTGAAAACATAAACATAAGCTATTATTATTATAAATCGTTATTTGACTAGAAGCTCTAGACTGGCAGAAACTCCTACCTTTGGTTTAGGAACTAACTTTAGAGTGAGAATATAGCCAACATACTGTACTGTAAAAGGACCAGGCATTTCTCGCCCCTGTAACTCTACCTGAATTTGAGAATCCTTCATCCACAGAGGAAAGCATTTAATACTCTTTGCATCTGGCACCAGTGTCACGGAACTGTAAAAGTTATTAGATTTGTTCATCTTGGACCCAAAGGGCAGATCTAGGAGCAGAGGAAGAAAGTCTCCGAGAGACAGAGTTAGGTTTAATGTAAGGAAAATTTCCTAACAAGTAAAGTTGTCAAAAAGTGTGGTGGGTTTTCTCATGAGGTAGTGAGTTGCCGGTCACTGAAGGTCTTTAAGCAGAGGCTGGGTGGCTATAATATTGGGGATGTTTTGGAGAAGATTCCTGCTTAGGTATGGTTTGAACTAAATGATTTCAAGTTCCTTCCAACTCTTAGAATCTTGAAACTTTTTAGAGCTGGAAGGGACATTGAAGATCATCTCTGGAAGCCCAGAGATAGGAAGTGACTTGCTGGAGGCCATGGAGTGGCAGAGCAGAGACAAAAATCCAGGTTCAGTGTTTTCTCCCCTCTTAACTTTGTAAATGTAAAGTAACGGGCAATTAAAATGTTAGTTATTATCAAACTGCCCAACTGTAGTAGTGGAGGGCTTACACTCCTATAGTTATCCTCAGTTATCCAAAGAAGGAGAGCGTGAAAGCTCTTTAGATTATGAACAACTTGGCTGAGTGGTAGGACTGATGAATTTTCATTTCCTTTGGGAAAATGGCTCCTGCCATGGACAAGAATTGTAGAGGCAGCTATGAGGATCAAGGGTTTAAGATGTTCTTAACACAATATAAGCTGTGAAGGGGCAGCTGTTAGTCCATCTATTATGTATGTTCCTTACTAGAAGCATATCTTATTTTCCCCCTTTGGATAATCCTAAAACTTGAGAAATGGGACTTTATCAACTAAGGCCCTATTGTATTGGTGAGGTGGTTAGAAGAATGGACTGAGTATTGAGAGTCCTAATTAATGAAGTCCTTATTAGGACACGAGATACAGAATGTTAGAGCTAGAAGGGATCTTAAACCAAGTTCATAGCTAATGTTTGCAAAGGGCTTTACTTATGTTATTTCACATTGGATGTTGGTATAGAAAAGAGCATTAGATTGACTAGAATAGAGAACGTCAGAGCCAGAAGTATCAGAACTGGGAGGAACCTTAGGGACTGTTATCTAGTTCGGTGCCCTCATATTGCAGAAGTGAAACTGAGGAAGATGTTTTCATAAAGTCATACAAGGAGTTCTTGCAAGAGTTAGGACTGGAACTCAGATCTTCTGACTCCAAATCCAAGTTCTTTTCTACTTCATTATGATACCACTCGGGGAATTTACATTCAGCATGGATGGTGGTATGTTTCCTAAGCTGCTGTTTGTGTCAGGGTGAATTGTTAAAATTGTAGAATTTTAGATTGTTTAAATTGTAGGATTTCCACAGCTGATAAACATGCAAATCTATCAGAATTGCTGACAGTTGAGAGAATTTTGAGATCCTTGATGTAAAGGAATAAAACTATTAAAAAGGCTGAAGTACTGAAGTCAGAAGGACCTGAGTTCAAATCTGGCCTCATTCCAAACACTTGACACTTAACTAACTGTGTGACCCTGGGCAAGTCACTTAACCCTAATTGCCTCGAGAGGAAAAAAAAAGACTGAAATAAATGGTGAATTGATTTGCTGCTCCATGTGGAGTTAGATTATTGGTCCTGGGTTCCACATAATGAGAGCCAAGGACCATACTTAGTACCTCGCATAGGCATTGTGGAGAGAAAACAGAAAACATTCATTTCCACAGGCATTTATTAAGCCCTCACCTATGTACAACATATTGAGCTAGATACTAGGAATGCAAAGGAAAATTCAAACAACCTCTGCTTACAAGAAGTTTTTGTGGGAGGACCAT